TATTTCTTCAGTTAAGAAGAAGGATTCCTGCAGTTCCTTTTTATGTGGCCAGCCTTGCCACAATTCCAGCAGTTTGTCTGCTGACCTGACTTTTATTTTGATCTTTCTCTGATTAAGTTCCTGTCATGTGATCTCCCTCTAGAATGAACATTCAGCACCAAATTTGAACATGAGGCCTTGCCAGAATCCTTCTTGCACACGTCCTCAGCCAAAATCAAATCACGAATATCATCATATTTTAGCTTAGATTTACCTGCAGAACTATTAACTGTCATCCTCATGGTTTCTCAGCTATTTGACAATGAAGCCAACTATATCAGTGCATTTATCTCATCATCAAAATCAATTTTAACAAATGACAACTGATTTGTGATAGCGTTGAAATCATTTAGGCGTTGAGCAACAGACACACCTTTCGTTATCTTCAAGTTGAATAACTTTTTCATTAGATGCACCTTGTTATTCGCCGATGGCTTTACATACATACCTGATAAAGCTGTCATGGGATCTGCATTAGTCCTCTGCTTTATGACGTTGTGAGTAACCGATCTTGACAGGGTTAATCGTATAACCCCCAGAACATGTCGATCCAACATATTCCATTCCGCCTCGTCCACCTTTTATTGTCACTTTCCTAGTAACGGAAGATGAAGTTTTTTCCCATAGAGGTAGTCATCTATCTGCATCCTCCAATAAACAAAATCTGTGTCATTGAAATTCTCGATCTCCGATGTCATCACTTCGTCTCCGCCCATCGTTCTTCCTTAGATTTGAACCCAAGTTCTGATACCAGTTGTTGTGAAAAATGACGGCACTAAAGTGAAAAATGGAACGAGTAAAATTGCATACAAAAAAACGCCAGAGCGACACACAGATTTACGTGGTTCGGCAAATTTGCCTACGACCACGGAGCTACAGAGAATTTTATTTCTATTTTCTTCTCTCCATTCCTCTCTCTCTCTCTTCATCTCTTTTTCTTAGGTCTCAAGAGAACTTGGCTTGGTCTTGCTTGGTTTGACTTCTCCTTTAAGCCAAAAGAGGCTATTTATAGAAACCATGAGAGTGGTAGGTGAGAGGTAGGTGAGCGGTAGGTGGGATGTGGTGGGTGAGTGGTAGGTGGGTGTGGTAGGTGAGCGGTAGGTGAAATACTTAATTAAGAAGCTAATTAAATTCGGTGGATCGGATCTCCACATTGTCCAACAATGTATGCATCTTAGCCGCATTATTTGCCGTTTTTTGCTTCCTCTTCAATATTTCTGAGAGCTAGTGATCTTCATTGGTAAAGACTACCCTTGACTAGCCCTCGTTTTCCGCTACCATCAGATTTTCTTGATAGCCTCCTTCCACCTCTACCAATTCTAGTACGAGAGAATTTTCCTCCACCTGCTCCACTGTATGGACATTCACAAGCCCAATGTCCCCGGCGCCCACAATTGAAACAATCAGAATGGCCAGATGGAGGTAGATCATCAGAACCACCACGATAACCTCCTTTGCCAATGGTAGAGTAGCCATTCATGATAACCTCATTGCACGCTGTCAGCAAAAGTCACAAATCTAAATCCATGAGGTCGCCTTATATCTTTTTCAACTACAATCTGTGAGTCCAAAATCTTGTCGAATCGGCTAAACGCAGCACCGAGCTTCTGTTTCGTGGTTTCTCATGACAAACCTCCAATAAAGATATGTGCCCCTCTTCGGCACACATGGCTATAACTATCTCTCGAAATGGGAAAAGATGCTGAGGAGAGGTCGTTCGATTGAGAAACCCTGCTCTGCGCTCACCTTCATGTTCTCCTTCCCCAGCTAGCATGACTGGATTGCAAGGGTCAGGCTGCAGTCCCGTCATTGAGAGCGGAAAGAATTATGGAAGCCAATATGGCAACTGGAGTGTAGTATAAAAGCTTTGTCAGGAACTTCAACGTTAAGAAAACAGTGATGGCCATAATAATATTGGACATCGGAGACTTGCATCCGGCAATGAAGTTTACTGCAGTTCGAGAGAGAGAGCCTGCAAAATGGAAGCCAATATGGCAACTGGAGTGTAGTATAAGAGCTTTGTCAGGAACTTCAACGTTAAGAAAACAGTGATGGCCATAACAATATTGGACATCGGAGACTCGCATCCGGCAATGAAGTTTACTGCAGTTCGAGAGAAAGAGCCTGCAAATGAAGGAAATGTATTATTAGTCCTACTTATTAATCTCATAAAATGGATACCTTATGTATATTTGCATCAGGTGTCCATAATAGGAGGTCGCGTGACAATTTGGGCCAACTGACATACAAGATATTTTGTTTTTCACGGTAATAATTAGCTAATAGAGTCAAGCTATATCTGATTGTTCTTTGATAAATATATAAATAAATGATTTTTTTTCTCTTTGGTTTTAAATTAATTAATTAATTAAAGAAGATGGCACTATCATAAGAGGTAATGGATTTGTGATATATGAGTAGTGGTCAATTTTTTGGTATTTATATGATAATATCATAGTTTCTTAAATTCTACCAAAATAAAAATTTATGGTTTAATTGAAAAGACATGACATGCTCTATGTGTTGCATTTGGAATGCGATCAAAATCAGAGATGTTGACTTGTGCTAAACAATTTATTGATTGTTATATTAATCATATCTCATATGCATGCACTTTGATTTGAATAAATAATTTAATCAAAATAAATAATAAAAAAGTTAAAATTGAGAATTTTTAGAAAAATATAAATACAATTTTATTTTATTTTTCTTTTTTGCAATCAAATTTCAAGATCAAATTAAAACATTGTGTTTATCTCTTTAAACCCTTGTCGGGCTTTGGCTTGTGTTAAGTTGGAGTGTCCCATGGGTAGAGAAATTAAGGTCCTCAAAGCCTGGCCTAAGTAATGGGGCACAAATCACGATTTTGTAAGAAATAGCTGTGCTGGCAAATGGGAGAGAATATTATATGTGGGGATTGGGTATATTTTAGGCGCATTTATGTACTATTACTCTTTAAACCCTTGTCGGGCTTTGGCTTGTGTTAAGTCGGAGTGTCCAATGGGTAGAGAAATTAAGGTCCTCAAAGCCTGGACTAAGTAATGGGGCACATATCATGATTTTGTAAGAAATAGCTATGCTGGGAAATGGAGAGAGAATATTATATGTGGAGATTGGGTATATTTTAGGTGCATTTATGTACTATCACATCAAGGCGGCACGAAACTATACAAAAGGGTATGAAACATGACAAACGAGGTGGGTTTGTAGCTAAGATGTGTCAGAGCCAATTGGGGGAGCTAAATCAGATCATTTAGACCGTCAACCCTAAAACCCGAAGGTGTCATAAAATACCAATGGGTTACCCGGTCATATCACGAGCCGTCTGACCTAAGGGCCGAACAAAGAACATTCACAGAATCGATCGAGCGGGGAAAGGCACACCAGATGACTGCAATATGATACCGGTGAAGCCAGAAAAGAAGGCCACATACCGTCATCACATGGTTCGTTCGGTTAATAGCCGAACGAATGAGAAGCAAACCAAACAAGGGGTTTACCCCATCAGTGAACAGTCCATTTGTATAATGTATCATGTAATTATTTTAGTACCTCCGAGTTTCTTCAGAAAGAGGAAAGTAATTGTATATATAAGGTACCTCTCATACATATAAATAGGGAGCCCTTCCATGAAGAAAACTATAGACAATGTGTTCTACTGTTCATTCCCTTATCTTACTTATCTTACATGCTATATTCCTTGGGAGTGATTCCCGAACATTTTTGGGTTCAACAATCTAAAAGGTGCGATGAGTGTGGTCTCGTGCCTCCAACAAGAAGAGGAGCATGGTGCAGTGGCAGAACAATCATCTGAGAAACACAAAAACCAAGCTACGGAGAAGAAAATCATGAGGGAGATGGTCCAGCAACAAGTAATGGAAATAAAAGAGCAATTAATGCTCAAAATGAAGAAGCAAATGGTATGCATCTTCCAAGAAGCTCTGTCCAATGGAGCCCATAACCCACAAAGTCAACCCTCACCCCCTCAACCCCAAGCATAGTCATGTAGGGAGAGGAAGCAACTACCCACAAAATGGACCGCCAAATTATTGACAAACACAGACAGAGGGGGGGCGGAGACAATAGTTCCCATTGCCATGATAATATTGAATCTGCCCGAGTGGAGAAACACCACACCGCATGGACCGTGGCTCTTTTCCACACTGGAAACACCTTCTCTTGAAAAATCTACAAGCCAAAACCACCTGAAAATTTTAACACCCCTAACCTCGACTAGTACAGAGGTCTCACCAACCCGGTCGACCACGTAGCCATTTTCAAGTCAGTTGTAGGCATTCCCAAAATCACTGACGTGTTCAAGTGTCGTCTATTTCTCACTATGCCAAGAGAATCAGCTTTTCATTGGTTTAAAACTCCCCCGATAGGGATAATCCCCTCCTTTAGTGAATTCAAGAGACTATTCATAGCCTACTCTGTTAGTGCACAAAAGCCATGAAAAGTCTCGTTCACTCCTTCAAGTTAAACAGAAGAAAGAGGAAACTCTCCATAAATATATAGCAAGGTTCTAGTGAGAGATGCTGGAAATAAAGAACATGAACTTGTAATCACTCAAACAACCCTAATATAGGGGGTTAAAAGCGAGCAGTTTAAATACGGCCTGGGGTTTCACGAGCCAGGCTCGATGGCTGAATTTCTAGAAATGGCCAACAATCACATCGTCATTGAGGAGTTAGTTCTTCATGACCGATAAGAAGCCAAGAAGGCAGCTGCCAACACCAAAGTGCCAAAAAAGAGACTTGTGGATAACAACTGACAAGCAAAGCATGGCCCCTGCCCCCTACTCACCCTCGCTATGATGGTAGATCGTGAGGAAAGGAAAGTCTGAGGCGCTTTTAAAGAGACCGATATCCTCGGCACTCGGCCCATTATGGTCAACGACCAAAAATCCAAACAAAATAGCTCAAGACGACCCTTCTAAGGATATCATTAGTCGAGCCGGTAGAAGCCATTTATGAAAATGACTGTTTTAAGAATCCTCGACTAACGAAAACCAAATGCCCCACCCAAAACCCTAACAAATTTTGTGCCTACCATCGTGATCACAACCACGACACGAAAGAATGCCGACACCTCAAAAGTCTCATTGAAGAATTGATCAATGCAAAAAAAAAATTAAAAGAGTTTGTGGCTCCCGAGGCCATTACCCACAGATAGGGGAAAGCTACATCCAACAGAACAAGAAACAAGCCAGTTCGAGCTAATACCATATGCATTACGAAGATAATACTTGTGATACTAGGAAGAAAACCTTCTTAGCGATCAAGCATAAAGATGATCCGATCAGAAGGTCTGTGTGTCTCTGTTGTCATCCCTCAAAAAGTAACACATTCCCTCATTACATTTACCAAAGAAGACCAATGAAGAGGGACCAACAACATGCTTACAATGACACAATTTTTATTACAACTTTTCTTAACAAATATCAGGTGAGAAGCATACTTGTCGACATTGGAATTCCAGTGAATATATATTCAAAGTTGTGTTCAATAAAATCTACGTAAGACACAACATATGACAACATCAAGTGGCCCCCCTCTTTGAATTTGCAGGGAAGAGGAAAGAACCCCTTGGCATAGTGATGATGATAGTCGCATATGGATACAAGGACCAACAGTTTGTGAGGTTTGTAATCTTCCAAGTGATCGACTCTCCTCCCGCCTCTAACACCATCTTCGGCCACCCACTATTAAGCAACTTTCTGGCAGTAACATCTACATATCATATATAGAGAAATTCCCAAGAGGAGGAGAAATCATTTTCGTCCGTGGAAATCTGGAGTAGTCAAGAACGTGTTACCCATGACTGGTGACTAGCATTAAGCATGAAACACCCGACCTTCAAAGTCACTGAGAGGGTTGTCTTTAAGATCAACGAAGCCATTATGCAAGTCCCTGCTATTGACAAAGAAGCATGTAAGTTCTTTCTAATCGATAAAGTTTCTAATCCCAGGTCGATAGCAGTTCTCATCGAAACCTTCAAGAAGAATTGACACGTCTTCACGTGGTTTATCGTCAAAATGCCCGGAGTTCTCGTAGATGTTTCCTGCCACCAATTTAACATCGATCTCACTGTACTAGTGATAAAGAAAAGATTGAAAGCATCAACTGCAACTCCTCCGAGCAAATCCACCAAGAAGTGAAGAAATTGATAGAAGCGGACTGTGTTTGAGAAGTTTAGTATCTAAAATGGTTGTCCAATGAAGTTGTGGTGCAAAAACCCAATGGAAAATTAATAATGAGTATCAATTTCACCAACTTGAATGCTGCATGCCCGAGGAACATCTACCCACTATTGAGGATTGAAAAGTTTGTAGAATTAGTAGTCAGACACTCTGCGATAAGCTTCCAAGAACCTTTTCTCCAGAATTATTAGATTAAGATGCATATAGTTGATGCCAAAAAAATGACTCTTATTACTTGCGAGGGAGTGTACTGTTATGATGTAATGTTCTTCAAGCTTAGAAATGCTGAAGCTACCTACCAGCATTTATTGGATATACTTTTTGCAAAACAAAAAGGAAGAAATTTTGAAATATATGTGGATGACGTATTGGTAAAAAATCAAACACCCAAGCAGCACATAACAACACATAAAAGACTTTGACATTTTAAACTCTTAAAAAAATTAACATGAGGCTAAACCCTCTAAAGTGCATATTCAAAACTTTGACCAGAATGTTCTTGGGTTATCTCCTAACACTTGAGGGCATTAGAGACAACCCAAAAAAGGTGCAAGCTTTGTTACACATGACCCCTCCTCAAAATGTGAAGGAGGTACAAAGGTTAACCGAACGAATACTAGGCCATAGCCGTTTCATCTCCAAGATGGAAAATAAGTGTGTAATATTCTTCAAAGTGCTTAGGACAACTAAATGTTTCAAATGAAGCACCGAATGTGAAAAAGTGTTTAGAAGGCTCAATGGTTCACTTGCCTCACCTTCACTCCTTTAAAGCGCTGGGTAAGGAAATCTTCCTTTATTCCATACCTGTGGCCTTTAGTTTAATGTTGAATTAGGAGAAAAAGAGAAAAAAAATACTCTATTTACTACACTGTCCAGATACTGAGGGGCGTTGAAACCAAGTATTCCATCATGGAGAAGCTAGCTTTTACCCTCATCACCTCCGCCCGAAGCTCCGACCTTACTTCCAAATACACCCAATTTGGGTAATCATTGACCATCTGCTCAAGTCAGTCCTCACTCGACCTGAACACGCGAGTAGACTGCTCAAATAGGCTACAAAACTAAGCAAGTTTGATATCTCTTAATTACCTCAAACAACGATCAAAGCCCAAGCAGTTGTAGATTTCTTAGTTGATTTCACTGAATCAGTCAAGAGAAACAAATAGACCGATGAAAAAGAATGTCCTTGGATATTGTATACTAATGGAGCCTCTACCAAAATAGCCTCCAGGCTAGGCTTCGTCCAGTTAAGTCCCCACAAAGAGCACCATTACTATTTAATTACCAAATATTTTAACATCACTAATCATTAAATAGAGTATGAAGTACTGATTGTCGGCCTACGACTCGCTTGCAACATCAGAGCACACCATCTCCATGTAAAGATTGATTCACAGCTTATAATTAATAAAATAAACAATTAATTCGAAGATCGAGATGAAATCAGGAAAAATACCTTGCCAAGGCAATGATCGATATTGGGTGATTCACTGGCTTTCGAATCGACCACGTCGAGTGGAAGAAAAACATGATAACTGACTTGTTGTTAAAATACTCCCAACTTGGGGGCACAATGTCTCAACCATTGAGTCAGTTGGTGATTGAGGAGCCTAAGATCATGGAAATTTTAACTGAAAAGTAAAAAACTTGGTAGACACCTACATTCAATACCTAAAGACTGGTGAATTGCCAAATGAAGTTATTGATCCGAAGTGTTTCAAGATCAAAGCGGGCCAACACATAATTATGTAAGGAATGCTCTTCAGAAGATCTACTACTTATCCGTACCTAAGGTGCCTAAGCGAGGCCGAAGCCGAAGACGTTCTCTGCGAGGTACACTCATGCAAGTGTGAAAGCCACTCAGGAGGAAGAATTTAGCCCACCGAGTGTAGAGCCAAGGATATTTTTGGCATACCCTCCTCAGAGATGCGAAAGAGTTCACAAAAAAATGTGAACAATGCAGAAGTATGGACTACTACAACACCAGCCCACCCAATAGTTGCAACCCATTATGAGACTCTGGCCCTTCACTATCTGAGGATTATATATTCTTAGAGCTTTTCCACCCTCTGTAGGCAATAGAGATTCCTCCAATTTTTCATTAACTACTTCTCAAAATGGAAAGAAGCCAAAGTGTTTTACTTGATCATTGTCACCGTCATTCTTAACGTTATTTGGACCAAACTCATTTGCCGCCACGAGCTCCCTCTGATCCTCATAACCGACAACGAAACTCAGTTCTCCGACTGAGGTGTTAAAAGATTTTGTGAAAATCAAGCAATAAAACTAAAATGTGCATCTTTACACTACCATCGTACAAATGGCCAGACCAAAGCGACTAGTAAGACCATCCTCAATCTTCTAAGAAGAAAGGTTGAAGGAGCAAAGGGAAGGTGGGCGGATCTGCTTCTGTCGGTGCTATGGACCCTCCGCATGACTCCCTCGATGGCAACAAGCCGCAGTCCATTCATGCTGACCCACCACATGGAAGCAGTACTACCAATGGAATATAACCATCATAGCCATAGGGCCGTCACTGCTTCCACCTTTATGTGATGAAGATCTGAGAGAATACTAATAAGCCAATGATGAAGATATCAAACACACCCTAGATCTTACCGAAGAGACCTGCGCCAAGTTTGCCCTTCATCAAGAAGAAACTAAATGGCAAACAACCCGATATTTAAACAAACAGGTTAGAGGGAAAAACTTCACGAAAGGTGAACTTGTCCTTAAGAAAGCTGACTCGGCAGCCCGCGGTCAAGTTGTCGAACTCGGCCAAACCCGAGCAAAACCCTTTATCACCGCTCAAAGAGTGGTCCCATGGGCGTACTGACTCAAAACTTATTCCGGAGATGACGTACCTCGATATTTGAGTCGGGAAAATTTGAAGCAATTCTTTTCTTAGCAAAGATTTTTCTAAATCGAATCAATCGTTAGCGTGAAGGATGTTTTGTATTATGTTTTTACAAAATATTTATAGTGGTGCCTGTACCTCGAAACACCCAGGCGATTGGGGAACTATGTCTAATCAATTTAATGATAGTAATCAATTTCCAATTCTCTAAAAGCACATTTTCGATAGTTAGTGGTGAAAGGTAAGATGAAACAGTCTACACAACAACACGTGAATGAAGCAAACACAATACAACAAAATCAACCATTTTTCTAATAATAGACCCTTTGTTTGCCGAAGAGTTATTTTCTTATAAAGTTGAAAGGAATCGTTTAAGAGATTAGAGAAGAAATAAATTATGTGCTCTAGCGATAGATTAATATCCTTTTTTTTTATTTCTTCTATTATTAATGGTAATAAGCTTCGTATAAGTTTGTAGACTTGTACTCAGATAGGCGAAATCGAGTTCATAGACTTGGTACTCGGACTCTGCACACCATGAAAGCTTTACTAAATGAAGAATTATTCAATAGTTCAGAAAAATAAATAATGCATGCATGTGAAAATATGTGATGCGTCAATTGCTCTACTTGCTGCACATTTTGTGACTATTGTAATTATTACTTTCTCACCTGTAGCAACGTAGCAAGATGACAAAGATCCGATAATGTTCATACAGCCCATTGAAACCATTTCCTTGTTACCATCAAGCTGGTAGCCCCTCACTGAAGCGAATGACCTGCCAACAGCTACAGCCTCCTGGAACCATTTGTATGATAATGCTATGAGTTTCCAAATGAAATTGGTTAAGATTTGCTAGATATACCGGCAACAAAATTCATGCTCAACCCAAGAATTCATGGGTAGGTTTATATATATATGTATATATATTCTTTTACAAAATGAATGCCGAAAGACTGGAAGACTACTAGACGGGCCTTGGCCATTCCTAGATGTGTTAGATATTTGATTATCACATCTTACACATAGAGGGATTTGAACCATTGACTTGAGGGGACATACAACCTTCAGAGAAGTTGCTTTACCAACAGTAAACAGAGCGCGCGCGCGCACACACACAGATATATATATATATATATATATAGAGAGAGAGAGAGAGAGAGAGAGAGAGAGTATTGGAATAGTTTCTTTTGGACGGTATAAAATAATTTCAGAGTAAGAATCTTCACTTTGATTTTAAGAGTTTATGGATCATTTTCCGATCAGTTTATTTATTCATTTTTTTCTATTTTTAGTTTATTTTTATTTTTTTTTTTATTTGAATTGAAGTGTGTTGGTCTATTGGGTTAAGATAGTGTTTTAAAATCAAAATATAAAAATAAATAAAAATTATATCAACCAAACATATTTTTAAAAATACAAAAAAAAAAAAATAATACTTAGGATAAAAGTTATGCCAAACATACCCACTAATTCTCAATTAAATGAAAAGGATGTTGGGTATATATATATATCACTCCTAAATAAATACTTCACATCTATCATTACTCTCACTCAAATGAAAATTTTTCTCATTTACATACACCAAAAGCCCACTCAACCATATTGAGAAGCCCTTGTATCAACTCTCATAGCATTTATTAGAGTATAAATGAAATACACCTTTTTAAAATACGCTAGTGATCAGCTACGTCATTTTCAACTTAATGAGTACGTGAGTACACCAAATTCAAAAAATGAAATACACCTTTTTAAAATACGCTAGTGATCAACTAGGTCATTTTCAACTTAATGAGTACGTTTATGATAAAGTTCAGTTGGCATGTGCCATTTGGCAAGTGGAACTCACAACTCTAAAGAAATTACCTAATATATTACAATGAGACCCACTTATCATGTGGCAAGTGCTCACTGCCCTTCCATATTTCAAAACTATGCCGAAGAAAAGCAGAAAGAAACAAAACGAATGGGCATTATAGAAGAACTCAACTAACCGTGAGAGCTAAGACTGCACAAATAACTCCGATCTTCGCAGATTCGCCAACATATGCTCCTCTGAACTGCAATTGCTTAACCGAACTTGGATTTAAACCACCTCTTACTTCTCCTATGATTTTCAGTCCATGCTGATCACCTCTGGTGACAAAAACTATTACAGTTGATAAAATTACAGAAAGCAAAGGAGCAATGGCTGGCAACCAAAACAGCTTCAAATTCCTTTTGCCCTGCAGAGTAAATTTGCTAATTTTTTTCATCAATCCCAATAATTCACATAGCCAAGTTGTTAAGTCTTCAATACTTACTAAGAATCTTGAGGCCAAGATGAATATAAGGAAGGAACAACCAAGGAAGAAGTTGTCTAGATGCCACTGTGATTATCAATTAAAAAAATAGGGAAACCAAATTATTAGAAAGAATTAAGAAACTGTTGAGACTAAAATGATTTCAAATTTGTGTTTTTTGAGACACACAGAATGATGAAGACCAATCCAAACAGCCTTGGTTACAGAAACAATATCTGTTTTATTTGTGAAGTGAGTTAAGCCTAGAAGGCCTTTTAGCTGCTGGAGGCCAATCACCATGGCTGCACCTCCCATGAACCCCACAATTGCAGCACGAGAGAGGAAATCCGCCAGGAATCCCAGCCTGAAGATGACCACTTTTTATACAAAATCAAGCTAATATCTGAATTCTGCATGCATTAATAGACATAAGAAGTTGCAGAAAGGTAACCTTAAAAACCCAAACGAAGCTTGAAATATTCCGGTGAAGAATGTTACAGTGAAGACAGTCTTCCTGTAGCCAGTTGGATCAGATGATGGATCAACAATCTTCTGAACCATGGATGATAAAAGGAGAGAGATGACAGCCACAGGTCCAACTGCAATTTCTCTTGAACTTCCCATAACAGCATAAATCAGAGGTGGGACTAAATTTGTATCTGTCAACCCAGACATGAAGAAGAAATATTTATCTAACAAGATATTTGATATAAACTGCTAAAGGGTTCAGATTTTCTTCCTTTTACTTACAGAGGCCATATTGTGGCTCAAGCTTAGCTAAGTTAGCATATCCTATGCTCTGCAAAGCATTCAAAACCTTTTGAGAAACCACAACAAAATATAAATGATAAAAATTATATATTTATGATTACCTGTGGAATGCCAAGGCTTGCAAGTGTAAGTCCTGCCATTATATCGCTTCGAAAAGATTTCAGATCATAGCTTCTTCCCCAGGTGAGGACAGGGAAAAGGCCCTGCAAACCTGAGAGAATGAAATGTAGCAGTGAAGAGGATTGCTTTCCATGAGGACGCATTTTCTTTTTTAGTGAGCAAGCGAGCTCTTTCCATGGAGCAAGAGGATCGGGAGTGTTCAGAACAGAGAAGACTGGTTCAGCCCTGATGATTGATATCTCACGGTTTTGTTCGATGGAATTAGAGCTGAGCTTGTTTGGGATGGAAGTCATGGCTTCCTGAAGTGTTTGGGAGAACCCTGAGATTTCAATATCTTTAGTAACAGTTGGATGGTCCTTGGACAAGGATTCCTCGTCCTCCATGGACTTGCACAATATAAGCTTTATGTTTGGTTGTTGGGAAGTGAGGATAAATTGAAGGAGATGAGGAGCCTGTGAGATTGATTTGAGTTTGAGGTGCTAAATATAGGAAGTAAGGCAAAGGGAGGTCATGATCATTGGACATTTTAATCCTTATTGATGTGATGCTTTTATGAGTAGACAGTCCACTTGTTTTGTTCACCAGCTGAACTGAGAGGGAATACGCAAAGCTCATCACACATCTTCTGTAAATCAGACAAATATAAATGAATCGGCTAATTTGGATTACTTTTTTACTTTCTATGTTCTTTAAACAGCATAGTGGGATAAAGGCTGCTGTTGTTGATGAAATTTTTTTAACTAAGTGAAAGATTTAATGCATGCTCCACTTATTTGTTATCAGCCTAACAAAAGCTAAATAACAAGTTAATTTCTGTTAAGTGAAGCACATATTTTTAATTGAAAACTCGTATAATTTGGAAGAAATTAACATTCTCAATATATGCATTAGAAATGGCATCTAACTTTCATGTGAAAGTGCGCACAAATGCTGAATATGGCTTATACATAAAAGAATAAAAAAGAGAACAAATGCCATAAGATGACTAGATTTACATGGTCTTGTAAGAAGATAACTTCCATAGTAAGAGGAGTTCTATCAAGTGTACCAAAAAGGGAAATAAGAAAGCAATCTTACTCAAATCCAATTGTGCCAATCTCACTATGACTCAAACTAAACAAAAGATTGAATAACACACAAGAGAAAAAAAAAAATAAAGGAGATTTTTTAATACCAATAATACCTATATGGAAATTTCTCCATATGACACCTTGTTTCTAGTCTATGAAGTCATCATAAATTGACTAAAGTAATTGCCTTCGTATTGCCAACATAGTAATCCACATTCACAAATGGACTAGATAGTCTAACTCTATCTCCTTCTTATCTCTCTATCTTCTTCTCAACCTTCCAATGTTGTTTATTTCTTCCAACCTCCCAGTGCAAATTTGTGATTTCAAAGGGGTTGTAGTTGCTTCAGGGGGTGGGCGGGGGTGCTATTTGGCCTAAAAGAAAACAGTATCAATATTAGGCCTCATTTAGTTCAATATATAATTCATGAAAAACCAAGCAATAAATGGTTAGCTTGGGATATCCTCCATTTAAGCATAAGGATTAACTCCTGCAAAACCTAGAAGAAATGTGGGACATGAATGAATAAAATTTCATATAAAAAAGAGAGAACTTTTATCTAAATTATATAATTAAATTGATAGACCAAATTATATGGCAGAAAAATCAAAATGACATCAGTGTTAGGCCTCATTCGGTACAATATACAATTTAATGATGAACCAATCAATAAATAGTTGGTTTAGGATAGCATGAATTTTAGTACGCTTGCATACCCTTAGAAGAAAAGAGGCACGCGAATGAATAAAATTTCATTTAAAAAAGAAAATAATTTTATTGGATTACATAACTAAATGGCTAGACTGGCTAGACCTAATTATTTGACCAAAAAAAAAAAAAGATGAGTTTAATGTTATGTCTCATTCAATGCAATATATAATACAATGATGAACCAAAAAATAATGGTTTACTTGGGATATCCTAAATTAAGGAAAAAAAATAACAGTTGCACATTCTTAGAAGAACAGTGAAACATGAATGGATAGAATCTCATATCAAAAAGAGAGCAAAATTTTCTAGATTATATATTTAAATGTCTAGACCTAAATATTCCAGGTAACTTTTAGTGTAATGTATGAAAGTTTATTTACTCCATAAATAAATTTTCACATGATATAACACTCCATAGAGGCTTGACACTCTAAATATTGCACTTAAAAATTTAAGACTACTAGCTTTAGCCAATTATAAAATGGGTCAAACGAATGTTAATGTTCCTTGCATATTATGTGTTAAGTTATTAGACATTTGGTTCTTTTGTAAGTGCTTAAGACAATTCATATAGAAGAACCTAAACCTTAGGTTCAGTCCAAATTGAACCTCAGTCAACCTAAATATCAGGTTCAAACCCAATTGAAACTAAGTCAACCTAAACCTCATGTTCAACATAATTTGAACCTAGGTTGACCTAAATCTTAGGTTCAACCCAAATTTAACCCAAATCAACCTTTACTTTAGGTTCAACCCAAATTGAACCTAAGTTAACTTAATATCAAATTCCAGGTTTAACCCAAACTGAGCCTACCTTAGGCTGATTGAACCTAAGCCCCTGAGTCTAACTTAATTTAGACTTAATTCAAGTTGAACCTTCTTTGAGTCTAGTCCAATCTAGGCCTAGCCTAAGTCTAATTTAGTTTAGTCTTGGTTCAAATTGATTTCCTTTTAGATCTAGCCTAACTAGATCTAACCTAAGTCTAACCTAACTTAACTTAACTTGGATCTAGACCAAATCAAGTGAATCTACAGCTCAACTGACCTAAGTTCGGTTAACTTTAATTAACTAAAATATTGAGTTAACCCAATCCAACTTAGGTCATTTCAATCTTTGGGTCAACCCAGCCCAAGACGGATTAACCTAATTTGATATTCTACTTTCAATTTGATATAAACCTTAACCTTAGATTAATCAAGGAATAATATAAGTAGATTAATCAAGGATTAATTTAAGTTTAACCTAACTTATGCTTAAAGAAAACTCAAGTCCAAATTATTTAAGACTTCATGCAAGTCTAATTAACTTAAACTTGATATAACCCAGAGGTTTAACTTAAATTAGTTCAGCTTAACTTGATATATTCTTAAGTTAGCTAACTTAATTTTATTTGGCATATTTAAGTCAAAAATAAAAGTAAGTGAAATTAGTTTGATTTTAATCAAATTAAATATGGGTTAATCCTACTAACCTATGGTCAGTTTAATAAGTTTCAAGATAATTTGAGGGACAAGTAACCTAATCTAGGTTAACTCAAATTATTTTGAATCTCGCTTTAGATTAGTTCAACCCACCATGAACTAATCTAAACTTAAATTGGGATGACTGAAGGTTAAGTAAGGTTTTGCCTCCTCGTATGGAAGTAAAAGCTCACTTAGCCTCTGTTAGGGACAATTTGGGTTAAAATTATCAAACCAACACAAATGACATAAAATCCACCTTAAAAGATATTAAAACTTAAACTTAAACCTTAAAAAACAACTTAGTTTGAGAAGATATTTTGAAGGAGGTAACCAATAGTTGCTAACAAAATATCTTCCAATTACTTGTGACTAATCGAACTGCAAACTTTAATGACTCGGGATTAGAGAACCATGGGATCTTGATCTGGTCATCCCAAAAAAAAATATATAAAATAATAAAATAAATTAATCGGCTAAAAAGTACTAAGCAGCCTAAATTTTATCAACCCCTAAAATACAAAAAAGTCTATAATACTTGAATGAAACCCAAATAAAAAAAAGATCACCAAACGCAACTTTAACCCAGTTGCTCGAGTCTACGAAGATCTCTTGGACGACGCATTCTGTGGTTTCTAACAAGAATCCTCTAGTTTGAGTGGGTTTAATCGCCTCTCAGACTAAGTAAAGTAGGGTACCCGACAACCCCAGAATGACAGAGCCATTTACATCTCGACCAGGTTGCCTAATATTTAAAATTCAAAAAATAAAATAAAATAAAATAAAACATAATTTTTTACTAACTTTGTTTTACAGGACCATTGAAAACAAAAGGTGAGAATCAACCAAGATTTACTTTACATGTTATTAGGATGTGCTGACTTTGTTTTGCAGAGGCAGAGCTTCAAAACTTGAAATGGTTAATCTCAATTAAGCATTTGTTACCAATGAAATAAAATAATAACAAAACAACATGACAAAACAAACTTCAGGATAATATTGAATCCTTAGAGATCTACTACCCATAAGATAGAATTTGACGTTCTTTTCCACAAAAAAAATACTTTGATCTTTGACAACAAATTTTAACCTTAATTGAGAATTTTATTAGGTAGTTTCAACTATTTAAGATGTAGTTATTATAAGAGTTTTCTCTTATAGGAGAGAAAGAACCATATAATGGATATTAATATAAAAATATGTAGTTATGGGGTTTTTCATTTGGTCTTTCTTGTAGGAGTATTTCAAAAACCAAACACTATGGAATTCTCCTTGTAATGTTTTCCACAAGAAAGATTTTTCCCTACATATTTCTTTTGTTTGTTCCTATTACTACTCGCCCTATCTTCTCTTTTGATTCCTCGTTTCTCAAGATTATCCATATGATCTAAGAGAAATAGGTATTCGGAGTAAAGGACAATGTAATAGATAACAAAAATGGCTACTCCTCGACAACAATGACATCAACAGCCAACACGACGTAGGGATTGACCATGACAACGACAATCCTCACTTCATATGTACCAATCATAATAGAAAAGTAATAATAACTCTACATCTAATCTCATTTGTTCTAACATATCTTCACATATTATTTTTAATATATTTTTGGAAAGTTTCACATGATTAAATAAAAAATTATTTAAAAACTAAGAAATACTCAAAAATTTAATATTACTTTGCCAATATGTACATAACACCTAGGAAACATAATTTAAGTTGCATGATGGCATGTTTTCAGAATTACAAGATATTATAATTTTAGCAAAATTGAAATATTTTATCAAAAATGGATTATATTTTTATTAAACACTTCTGATCACAAGGAACTCAAAGAAAAAATTTTCATAATTTTTCAAAGCTTATTTAATTTAATTTAATTATTTTTATACAAAATTACAAGGTTTCCTTAAAATTCCATTTTAGTGCATAGACTAAGTCAAATAAGTTTGATATTTTTACATTGAGTAAATATGGTTCTTATGAACAATATGGGATTGATTTTGTTGATTTTTGATAAGTATATAATTTACAAAAATTAACACAGGATATTCAAATTTAATTAAATATAGAAATTTATAGAATGATCCAAAGCATCATGATATTTTTTCTAGACTTCTATGACCCCAGGAAACCTTCTAAAATTATTCCCATAATTTTCTAAGTGATATTTTGATTTATATAATTAAAATAAGCCAAAATAGGCACCCTAGCTTG